TACACACACACACACACACACACACACACACACGCAGCAGGTAAAATAATCTCTTTACACCCTGAAGTGAGCAAACCCTCAGACCTGAAATATAAAATATATCAGCCTACTAGCTAAGCTGTTTTTAAAGCAATAAATAAATAACTACAGACCACATTAAAAACATGAAAATCAAAATTTTTCAAAACATTAAAAGGCACATTTTAGAGTGGCCTTAGCAATAATCATGCTGTCTAATCAGCATCTTGATATGCCACACCTGTGAGGTGGATGGATTATCTCGGCAAAGGAGAAGTGCTCACTAACTTGATTTCAAAATGGCCAAATATTTTCTGATTAAAAGGCCTCAACTAAACATCTCTATCCTTGCAGAAGACAGCAAACATATCTCAACACACACACACTTGAATGTGCAGATTGGCATCTGCTCCATAATTACAGGGGATGAAATCAAATAAATGGCATACAACCAATAAAACAGGAAATGGGTGTGGCACATAATCTGTCAATCAGCGTGGGAGGCGGGGCTTTGCGAGCGTGTGTGAGAGCTGAATCAATGTAAATCTGTTTTTCTTCAATGAGGAGTCATTACTGGAGCAAACACACACAGGAACTCCCGCGGGCCTTCCTGAAAGCTCATTTATCATGCTGTTCAGGCCAGTTTAAACTCTCACAAATAAATCCACACTATCCTTTTACGACCGCATGCACAAAATGCTTATGCATTAAATAACTGACCTGCCCATGAACTTTGAGACGGCACTTTACCAGGCAGAATTAAAATCAGGGTCACAGCAGAATAAATCACAGCGTCTGACATCAGCAGTGAGCCGGCTTTCCTCAAATGAGGGCTGACTTCTGCTTTCCTTCATTTTACTCAACAAAGACAAACTTCGCACAAGCTATTCCAGGACAGAAGTCTGAGATTCCCAGGACACGTCAACAAACACAGCTACAAACAACGCCAACAAACAGCCATTTATTTCAATAGATTTCTTGTAATCTACATGGTTTTCAATGCATCGACTAGTAAAGCCAAGCGCTGGCAATCTCAAGGTCATGAGTTTAACTCCCAGAAAACACAAATGCTTATAAAAAATATGATATATCTGCCAAATGAAAAAAATGAAAACATTTTAAAGAAAAAGCTCAACAAAACATCTAGACTCATCCTCAGACGCATCTGACGCACACTGCAAATAAAAATGGAAAAAGTATTTTCAAAATTGGCTTCAATCTGATTGAATGTCTTTAAAGCAATTTTCAGGAGTTGGTGCACAAGTTTTTTTTTAAAGCCTGCTGAGCAAAAAAACTATTTTAAATTAAAAAGTACCAAGTTGAAACCATGCACATTTCAGAGAAACAACTAATTGTTGAATTAAGTTTTTACGTTTATGGTTTTCCTGTTTTTTGATGTAGAGATATGTTAATAATTAATGCATATTATATGACTTCATGGTAATCTGTGGTCAAATGTTTCCCACATTCTCTCTTTTCTTGCATAATAAAAGAATTTAAACAGAAACTTTAACTGCTTATTACTATTATTATTATTTTTTATGTGGTAATAAGCTGCATAATTTTTTTCAGTGAGTTAGCACTCGGTTGAATTGTGGCCTATCATTGTGGCATGAAGGATTTTACATGTAATAGTCTCTAAACATCACAATATATAAATAAAAAGAAATAAACAAAAAGATAAAAAAGATATATAAATGCATAAACATTCAAATATAAATAAATACATAAATTAATTTTTAAAAACATAAAACAATAATTAATTAAATAAATAAATGAAAAATTTTATACAAATGAATAATAAACAAACAAATAAATAAATAATTGCATAAATGAATCAAACAATCAATTGTTAATACAAAGGCATGGTCACTGTGAAGGAACTAAATGCAAAGATCAATCTGCACATATATATACACAGTGGGTACGGAAAGTATTCAGACCCCCTTAAATTTTTCACTCTTTGTTATATTGCAGCCATTTGCTAAAATCATTTGTTAATTTTTTTTCCTCATTAATGTACACACAGCACCCCATATTGACAGAAAAACACAGAATTGTTTGGCTTTATTCAATGTTAAAATGTCTAATGTGAGTTTGAATATTATTTTGCGTTATCTTTATAGCCATAGTGAAAGCAACAATAGATATTTTACCTCAGATCTTGAAAATAAATTAAAGCAAACTTTTACGTTAAAACAATGAACTCACTGCAAACCAGCACATGTATTCCATAACAAAGATATCAGTCAGTCACTCACTGAAAACTGTTCAGTCCATTCACATTTTAATCATCTATTTTCCGTGACCACTTTTCTTTTCTACACACTCGCCATGTTTTTGCTGTCACATCATATCTACACTGGACGCGACAAAGCATTGCAAATCATTTGAACGTTGTGTCAGTACGTTATAATTGGAACGAGTCAGCAGTTTACTGTCGGGGATTTGTCGTCTCGCGACGCATCCAAGACAGCATCACTGATTATAACAAGTTCTAGGCTATTGTATTTTATTGCGTTGCATCGCACCGCTTGTGTCCGGTGTATACACGATGTAAGTTAAAGTAGCTTTTTGATGCTGCGTTTGAATTTTCATGCCACATTATTTTAAATTAGCGCGGGCCAAACTTTGTTCTCTCACGGGCCGGATGTGGCCCACGGGCCGCCTATTGAGGAACCCTGGTGTAGAGGGTGGGAAGAGGGGAGAAAACAACCACTAAAACACAGACCTACAACACGCTCATTACACAGACAAATGAATATTAAAGGGGTCCTATTATGCTTTTTCACTTTTTGAATTTTAGTCAGTGTGTAGTGTGTATGTTTGGGCATAAAAAGATCTAGAAAGTTACAAATCTCAAAGTCCACTCCAAAGGGAGAGATTTGTCTCTATCACTCCAACAGCGCCTCCTGCTCGCAGAGAATGAGTTTGCATATATATGCCGCCTGGGAAACACTGGACTATGGTATAAATAAATTCAACTGTATAACAGTTTCACTGCAATTCATGTTATAATGTTAGAATTAAATAACAATAAAAATAATACATATGCACT